CTAATTTTTGTTTTTTTTTTTTCTGGCAGAGTGTCGCTCTGTTGCCCAGGCTGGAGTGCAGTGATATGATCTTGGGTCGCTGTAACCTCTGGTTCCCGGGTTTAAGCAATTTTCCTGCCTCAGCATCCTGAGTAGCTGGGATTACAAGTGCATGCCACCATGCCCTACTGATTTTTGTATTTTTAGTAGAGATGAGGTTTTACTATGTGGCCAGGCTGGTTTTGAACTCCTGACCTCAGGTGAGCCACCTGCCTCAGCCTCCCAAAGTGATGGGATTACAGGCGTGAACCACTGTGCCTGGCCCTTAATTCTCTTTTGATAGAGATTTAACTTTTATTCGGTAATAATGTAGAATAAAGGCAGAGGGTATATATTACCTGGATAAGGCTTTCAATTTTTATATTTAAACTGTTACCCGGTTGTTTTCCCCTAATATTTGAGGTGTTTGATTGGCTGTAATCAGAGTAACACTTTTTAAAATCAGGCTGATTTAAGCTGTTCTTCAGATGAGAGTTTTTCCCCTTGAAGTATGATGATTGTTTTTTTTCCTTCTCTTTTAATAACTTTGATGCGATGAATGTTGAACTAAGTGATCTGATCAACATAATCTTTCTGACTTTTCCAGAGGCCATGTGGAAGTGTTACATCACCTTTTGCTTAGAACGATTTACTAAGAAGACAAATAGTGGATTCCTCAGAGGGAAGGTGAGGATGTTACATGGTTACATGGTTACAGTGGTTGACTAGATAGTGACTGTCTTCTGAGAGAAGAACAGAAGCACAGCTCTTTGGGTGTCTGGGACAGCTTTTGAGAACTTTTTGCTTAGCCACTCTCTCTCTCCTTGTGGGTGACGTGTCATTCTAAAGGTCTGAGTTTGATTTGCTGCCAGGTTAGGAGAGGCTCTCATGTAACTGGGATCTTTTGGTGCAGCTGCCCAGTGCGTCTATTCATAAGTGAAACCACCATGCAGGAGCAAGTTAGCTTCTTTGAGTTCTCAGAAATGCGTAAAACTGCTTTTGTTCATGTCAGAGGCCAGAGGCCCCTGCTGGGATCTTTGAAATGAACTGAGGGATTTCTCTGTTTTCAGAGGCTGGAAAGAACCGTGACTGCATTCAGGAAGGCACATGAACTCAAGCTTCTGCCAGAATTCCAATACGAGCAGTTGGTAAGGACATGGAAAATATATTATCTGCCAGTTACAAATACCTTATTCCAGTTGTTTTGTTTTAAATATTTTTAAATGTTTTAAATATATATAGTCTTATGACAAAGGCCATTCAGGAGTTTGATATGTAAAGTGTGTTTATATTTGTTTGCCAGTATTTGGCATATGCTAAGAATGAAATCTGTACTAGCAAAGGGAGGAATATTATATAGTGAAAAACACTCAAAACAAGGGTCATGATTTGAGTTCATTTTTTTTGTCTACCTATTCCTTTTTTTATTTTTTGAGATGGAGTCGCCCAGGCTGGAGTGCAGTGGTGCAATTTCAGCTTACTGCAACCTCTGCCTCTTGGGTTTAAGTGATTCTCCTGCCTCAGCCTCCCAGGTAGCTGGGATCACAGGCGCATGCCACCATATCCGGCTAATTTTTATATTTTTGGTAGAGATGGGGTTTCACCATCTTGGTCAGGCTGGTCTCTAACTCCTGACCTGAAGTGATTTCACCTGCCTCGTCCTTGCAAAGTATTGGAACTACTGTGCAGGTGTGAGCCAGCATGGCTGGCCAAATTTTTTATTTTTAGTAGTAACGGAGTTTCACCATGTTGGCCAGGTTGGTCTCAAACTCCTGACCTTAAGTGATCTGCCTTGCCTCGTCCTCCCAAAATGCAGGGATTACAGGCATGAGCCACTGTGCCCGGCCTATATAATCCATCTTCTGTCAGAAGAAACGTATCAAACCTTTCTTCTGTTAGACTGGAGACTCTGTGGGTGGTAGGGAATACACCTGATTTGTTCACTATTGAATCTAGCATATATAATGTACAGGAAGAACACTTTCTGAATGTTCTGATTATATATTGCCATTTACTTTTTCACAAATTTGTACAATTGAAGTGGTTTTAGGATTTTTTTTCCCTTTTGTTAAAATAACGTGGATATAAGCATACAAGGTAAGATTTCCTTTCAGTTGTGTACTTTTTGGGCTATACTTGTTGAAGTAAAAGTCCCAAATTGAAGCATTATGCACTTTCATGACTCTTGTTACAAAATGTCAAATTAGCCAGGCGTGGTGGCTCATGCCTGTAATTCCAGCACTTTGGGAGGCTGAGGTGGGAGGATCTTAAGATCAAGAGTTCAAGACCAGCCTGGCCAACATGGTGAAACCCCATCTCTACTAAAAATACAAAAAAATTAGCTGGGCACAGTAGCATGCACCTGTAATCCTAGCTACTTGGGAGGCTGAGGCAGGAGAATCGCTTGAACTTGGGAGGTGGAGGTTGCAGTGAGCCAAGATCGCACCACTGCTCTTCAGCCTGGGCAGCAGAATGAGACTACATCTCAAAAAAAAAAAATTGTCAAATTGAATTTCAGAAAAATTACATTAGTTTATGTTACGTCCAACTCTGTTTGAATGAGTACACCTATTTTCTTGACACCCCACAAATACTGATTGATTTGTGTGTGTGTGTGTGACAGTCTCCTTGCTCTGTCTCCAGCCTGGAGAGCAGTGGCTCAATCTCTGCCCACTGCAACTTCCACCTCCCAGGTTTAAGTGGTTCTCCTACCTCATCCTCCTGAGTAGCTGGGATAACAGGCGCATGCACCGCCATGCTTAGCTAATTTTTTTTTTTCGAGACATTGTCGACTCTGTTGCCCAAGCTGGTGTGCAGTGGCATGATCTGGGCTCACTGCAACCTCCATTCCTCCGTTCAAACGATTCTCCTGCTTTAGCCTCCCCAGTAGCTGGGACTACAGGCATGCACCACCACGCCCAGCTAATTTTTTTATTTTTAGTAGAGATGGGGTTTTACCATATTGGCCAGGCTGATCTTGAACTCCTGACCTTGGATGATCCACTTGCCTCGGCCTCCCAAAATTCTGGGATTACAGGCGTGAGCCACTGCGCCCGGCCTAATTTTTGTACTTTTAGTAGAAATGAGGTTTCACCATGTTGGCCAAACTGGTCTCGAGCTCTTGACCTCAGAGGATCCGCCCCCTCACCTCCCAAAGTGTTGGGATTACAGGTGTGAGCCACCATGCCCAGCCTATTTATTGATTTTTCATCTTCTGTTTGGTGAGCATGTGTTCTGGCATAGTGAACTATTTTATTAAAAACTTAACTTACAGCCTAAATTCTTTAGGCTCTCTAGTTTTTACCTCTTCTCTGTTTTTGGATAGCCCTCATGGGTAGGAGCAGTGAAAAGAGGAGGAATTCCAAATTGTTCACTTTGTGCCTGTTTAACAGCCATGGAAAATTTGTTTTGATACCTATGGATTATCACATAGCTCATATCTTTTTTATTTTAAATTGTAATGGAAAGGTTGGTGAAATTCTTGCTTCAAATGAGGTTTTAATTGTCTCCATGTACATAGGTTGTTTAGGTTTCAGTAATTAATTTTCCAGTGATCCTTCATCTTATCTAGATTAAGTCCTTGCTGAGTCATAACTTCCTGAAAGAAGCTCTGGAGGTGGCAGTAGCTGGAACTGAATTGTTTAGAGACTCTGGGGCAATGTGGCAGATGAAGCTGCAGGTGCTAATTGACTCAAAGAGCCCTGACATAGCCATGCAATTTGAAGAATCCTTTGTGCACCTGAAACCCCAGGTCTGTGAGTAGGGTCTTTTGTATTCATTATGTACAGGAAACCTTTTAAGACTTTAGTCAAAGCTCATTTAGAACGTACTTGTCTATTGAAAGCCAGCTCTAGAGTGGCATTTTTAATTAAGTGATCATGGTTCATAGGTCAAGAGTAGAAGAATTTGCTTCTATTTAATATCTTTTATTTGGAAGTTGACCAAATTATATAAAACTTCCTATTCTATTTAGATATTTTATAAAGTTAGAAATACTGGTAGAATATGTCACTTGCTGAACATAAGCCCCAATTTTTTTTTTTTTCTTTTTCTTTTTTTTTTTTAAAGATAGAGTTTCACCATGATGGCCAGGCTGGTCTTGAACTCCTGACCTCAGGTGATGCACCCGCCTCAGCTTCCCAAAGTGCTAGCATTACAGGCGTGAGCCACCGTGCCCAGCCAAGCCCAACTTTTAAATACAAACGTGTTTGTAACTTAAAGGTTTAAATCTTCTTGTTTGTTTGTTTCTTTGTTTGTTTTGAGACAGAATCTCACTCTGTGGCCCAGGCTGGAGTGCAGTGGCACGATCTTGGATCATTGCAGCCTCTACCTCTGGAGTTGAAGCAATTCTTGGGCCTCAGCCTCCTGAGTAGCTGGGATTACAAGCATGAGCCATGGTGCCCAGCCTAATTTTTGTATTTTTAGTAGAGACAGGATTTCTCCTTGTTGGCCAGGCTGGTGTGGAACTCCTGGACTCAAGTGATCTGCCTGCCTTGGCCTCCCAAAGTGCTGAGATTACAGGTGTGAGCCACCGTGTATGGCCAGATTTCCTTTGCAGTGAATTTTTTATATTAGTAGGAAAAAGTGTATTCCAGAAGTTGAAGTAGGAAAAAAAAAACTGCTCATTTGGTGTTGTTGCTGTTGTTTTTATTTTTAGACGAAGAATTATTCTGTTGCCCAGGCTGGAGTGTAGTGGCGCAATCTCGGCTCACTGCAACCTCCACCACCTGGGTTCAAGTGATTCTCCTTGCCTCAGCCTCCCAAGTAGCTGTGATTATAGGCATCCATCACCATACCTAGTTAATTTTTGTGTTTTTAGTAGAGATGGGGTTTCATCATGTTGGCCAGGCTGGTCTCAAACTCCTGACCTGAGGTGATCTGCTCGCCTCAGCCTCCCAAATTGCTGGGATTTCAGGTGTGAGCCACCGTGCCGGGCCTTTTTTTTTTTTTTCTTCCTTAAAAAAAAGTCTTACTCTTTCACCCAGGCTAGAGTACAGTGGCACAATCTCGGCTCACTGGAACCTCTGCCTCCTGGGTTCAAGCAATTCTCATGCTGCAGCCTACGGAGTAGCCGGGATTATAGGTGTGCCCCAACATGCTTGGCTCATTTTTTGCATTGTTTTTGAGATGGAGTTTCGCTCTTATTGCCTAAGCTGGAGTGCAATGGCATTATCTCGGCGTACCACAACCCCTGCCTCCTGGGTTCAAGCAATTCTCCTGTCTCAGCCTTCCAAGTAGCTGGGATTACAGGCACGTGCCACCATGCCTGGCTACTTTTTTTTTTTTTTGGATTCTTTTTAGTAGAGATGGGGTTTCACTATGTTGGTCAGGCTAGTATCGAACTCCTGACCTCATGATCCACCTGCCTTGGCCTCCCAAAGTGCTGGGATTACAGGCCTGAGCCACCGTGCCTGGCCCATTTTTTGCATTTTTAGCAGAGATGGGGTTTTGCCATGTTGGTCAGGCTGGTATCAAACTCCTGGCCTCCAGCGATCCACCTGCCTCCACCTTCAAAGTGCTGGGATTACAGGCGTGTGCCACCTGCCTCGCCTTTGCTGCTCATTTGTAGGTACCTCTGGAACATGAATGAAGATCAGATAGTTCAGCCTAGATTAATTAGTTCTTGTGTTATGGGTCTTAGACAGCAGAGACATGACCCGGGTAGCTGTGGGTCTAATTGTGTAGGCTGTTAATTGCTTACTTAACTAAAAGATGATTGATGATGATAACTACAGGAAATACTTCCCAGTAGAAAGGAACTAAAATGGCCGGGCGCAGTGGCTCACCCCTGTAATTCTAGCACTTTGGGAGGCCGAGGTTGGTGGATCACGAGGTCAAGAGATTGAGACCATCCTGGCCAACATGGTGAAACCCTGTCTCTACTAAAAATACAAAAATTAGCCATGTGTGATGGCATGTGCCTGTAGTCCCAGCTACTCAGGAGGCTGAGGCAGGAGAATTGCTTGAACCCAGGAATTGAAGGTTCCAGTGAGCCACGATCATGGCACTGCACTCCAGTGTGAGTGACAGAGCAAGACTCTGTCTCAAACAAACAAACAAAAAGAACTAAAATTCACAGAAGAGTGTTCTCTTAGTGACTTGGTCAGAAAGCTGGTTGTGTTCTTGCGTGCTACTCCTGCTGGGCAATGAGAATTCTGTTACAATGAGGACAGTTTGGGAATAAATCCATATTTTACATGTTGATTATCTTAGGAGGAACCTACCTTTTTATTTAGTTTTCAGAGAATAGGACTAAGCTGTTATTTTATAACATTTAAAAAATTGATACATAATAATTTACATATTTTTAGAGTATATGCAATATTTTGTTACATGCTGTTTTCTAACTAATATTTTTTAAACTGGGAGTAGGTTTGTCTGTCATTGTGGATTTCTTGGGCGGAGTGGAGTGAAGGTGCCAAAAGCCAAGAAGACACTGAGGCAGTCTTTAAGGTATAGGCTCCATGTTCTAAGTCTTGTGGTGTGGGGAATGGCAGATGGGTTCCCTGGTTGGCCAGCTCTAGTGTTGTTTCATCAGCAGGTACGCCTAAAGCACTATGGAGTGGCCTCAGGTGGTTCTGGGAAAATCTGTTTTGATATCTATAAGTTTACTCATGTAGCTTATTTCTTTTTTCTTTTAAATTGTAGAAAGCTCTGTTAGCTGTCATTGGTGCCGACTCAGTAACCCTGAAGGATAAGTACCTGGATTGGGCTTATCGAAATGGTGGCTACAAAAAGGCCAGAGCTGTGTTTAAAAGGTACTCACAGATGTTCACAGTTACTAGGCTCTTCTCCCCATAATCAGCCCTTCATACCCAGATTATTTGTGTCACAAATATTATCTGAGGAAGTAATCCAATATACACTTTTTCTTTCTTTTTTTTTTTTAAAAGATGGAGTTTGGCCTTGACCTGGGCTCAAGCAATCCTCCCATCTCAGCCTCCCAAGTGTCTGGGACTAAAGGCATGTACCACCATGTCCAGCTAACTTAGAATTTTTTTTTCTTTGTAGATGGTGAGTTTCACTGTGTTGTTCACTCTAGTCTCAAACTCCTGGGCTCTAGCAGTCCTCCTGCCTCAGCCCCCTAAAGTGCTAAGATTATAAGTGTGAGCCACCATGCCTGGCCTTCTTTTTATTTTTTTGAACAATAAAAGTGATTCATTGTGGTGGGGGGAAACATAACAATGATAATTTATTATACTATCAATTATATATTATATAACATATAATTTTAACATGTGTTTTTATGTAGTTGAGATGGTAGTACAATTGTATTTCTCTTTTTGAGACTGAGTTTCGCTTTTGTTGCCTAGGCTGGAGTGCAATAGTGCAATCTCAGCTCACTGCAACCTCTGCCTCCTGGGTTCAAGAGATTCTACTGCCTCAGCCTCCCGAGTAGCTGGGATTACAGGGATGTGCCACCATGCCAGGCTAATTTTGTATTTTTAGTAGTGATGGGGTTTCTCCATTTTGGTCAGGCTAGTCTCGAACTCCTGACCTCAGGTGATCCACCCGCCTTGGCCTCCCAAAGTGCTGGGATTACAGGTGTGAGCCACTGCCCGGCCTATAACTATAATTATAATTTTATTTACGGTTTAAAATTTTTTTTTTTTTCTTTTCTGAAATGGAGTCTTGCTCTGTTGCCCAGGCTGGAGTAGAGTGGTGCAATCTCGGCTCACAGGAACCTCCACCTCCCGGGTTCAAGTGATTCTCCTGCCTCAGCCTCTCGAGTAGCTGGGATTACAGGCTTCTGCCACCACACTTGGCTAATTTTTTACATTTTTAGTAGATATGGGGCTCTGCCATGTTTGCCAGGCTGGTCTCGAACTCCTGACCTCAGGTGATCAGCCTGCTTCGGCCTCCCAAAGTGTTGGGATTACAGGTGAGAGCCACCGTGCTGGGCCTAAATTTTTTTTTTCTCACTCTGTTGCCCAGGCTGAGTATAGTGGCATCATCTTGGCTCACTGTAATCTCTACCTCCCTGGTATAAGCGATTCTTGTGCCTTAGCTTCCCACGTAGTTGGGACTACTGGTGTGTGCCACTACACTCAGGTAATTTTTTAATTTTTGGTAGAGATGGGGTTTCACCGTGTTGCCCAGGCTGGTCTTGAACTTCTGGGCTCAAGTGATCTGCCCAGCTCAGACTTCAGGCCTGGCCATGCCCCGATAATTCTTAAATTTTTTGTGTAATTGGGGGTCTCACTTTG